TCAGATAAATTATTTTTATTTGAACATCAAATATACTTGTACTATTTAATATTTACATAATTTGGTATGCCATATACAAGGTACATATGTATAATTTACACAACATTGCAAATAATATAACAGCACTTCATTCTTTGTTTTTCTTCTTCTTCTTCTTCTTCCTCTTCTTCGTCTCTAGCTGACAACATATTCAGGTTACGTGCAGTGAAAGCCAAGGGTGTCGTGGCAAAAGGCTTTGGTCCACTTAACATCACATTAAATAGTTAATCTACTAAAATAATCCGTTTGTACAATATATATAAATACAATTAACTCCACAAGTATAAATCCATTCTCTTCTCTTTTTTTATCAATATTTCATTTTTATCGTCTTCTTGCCACACTATTTAATATTAATTGATGATATGAAATGGGTGTGAATTTGCCAATTCTATAGTTGAGTGTACAGTAGGGCATAGGCGTAATGTTTTGAGAGAGAGAAAGAAAGAAAAGGATGGCAAAAATGAAAAAAAACATTGAAGAAGAGATGTGAAAAAACTCCTTCATTGTGTCTATAAGTCACTGGGGACAATTTTGTTCAAAGTGTTCATAATAATGCTGATTGAATAACGAAGAAGTCACAAGTAAAACCCTGTTTCTGGAGTTTAAATGGATGATGTCACTCTGTTCCAACAAATTTGTTTAGTGGGAATAAGATACGTTTGAACAATTGGTTTAATATGCATGTGTGATACGCGGTTATTTCTATAGATAGGAAGGCAGATAGATAGATTGACAGATAGATAGATAGATTGAGGGATGGAGTTGAGGAGAGAGAGAGAGAGAGAGAGAGAGAGAGAGAGAGAAGAGAGAAGAGAGAGAGAGAGAGGAGAGAGAGAAGAGAGAGAGAGAGAGAGAGAGAGAGAGAGAGAGAGAAAATCATAATGCAGTGTAAAGTCAGTAGAGGTTTTCTCCGAGTTCCAGCTGTGATAAAAAACTGTCAGGTGTTCACATAAAAAAGATTAAAAATACTGATTTGAGATTATCTGTTTTCAAATCATTAATATTTTATGATCAACATAGTATCAATATTTAAAAGTATCGTTTTTTATAGTATCAGTATTTAAAAGTTTCGTTTTTTTCTTATAGTAATCAATATTTGAAACAGTTTCGCTCCTTTTAGAGGTAACAAATTTCACTATTGAATAGAAAATACAAAATAGTATCAATGTATAAATACAATGATGAACCATACAATGAAGCATACACATCACCCGAAATAATTGTATACTGTCTTCTGTACATGTAACAAAACACCTTGAATTAAGCACATAGCACGTTTCCAAACATGACTGAAAAGGATAAAATACATAAAACACTGGTTTCCTTATGAAATTTTGGCATTTTCGCTTACTCACAATTCATATCTTGGACTTTAAATTCACTGGGATGACGATGATGATGAAAACAAATGATAAAAACATCAATCAATAAGTGAAAAACGAAGGGAGCTGGACACAAATAATTACATTCTTTTTATAAATATATACTCTTAATTTTGATGCGTCTCGATGTTCGAAATCAAACTCATTCATTGGATAGCAAAATCGTTGCTCAGTTCGAAATTTCCAAATGGTTGGCGTCTTGTGCCTCGAAAACTATGGCAGATTTCAATACATGGCTAAAACAACTCATGTAAGTGTCATTCTATATGAAAATAACTTATATACTGAAACGACAACAGGGTTCACATATTGAGCATCAGTTTATCAGAAATACTGTATAACGTTTATCTATAATTTTTTTTCTCTTTTTAATGATTTGCATTGACTCTGAGGACTCCAAAGAAGCGTATATATCTAGTTATCTCCCACTATTGACGTTATTCTTGCATAATGTACAGCTAGCTCCTAGTACTTAGTGGGTTAAATATTATTTGTGCTCTTCGTTAACTCAAGGTCTTATAAAATGTCATACATATCCTTTTTTAAAATTGTTATAATTTACTGTGGAATGAAACAACAGATTTCCTGCATTACGCAATACGTCATCTATTGTCACCTACATTTACGTGTGCATGAGCTATACAGAAATACCTGACATGAATGTTTCTTTGCATCTGATACTGACTTCTCTATGAGGTATGTGGCCTTCGGCTAGACCCAAGGAGTGACAGAAAACTATGCACTCTTGATTACTTTATCTCGGACTCATCCTGCTGTTCTTCCTTTTATGTTAAGGGGGGTGGGGGCTAGAAACACGTGAATGAGAGTCTCTCCTGAAGACGTCGGAGTGAAATGATACTTAATAAATACTCTTGGATTAAAAGAAGCATTTCGAAATCAACTTGCACAAAACATCTATCGTGTTTATCTATTGGACTATTCGACATTGTTGTATCTATAGACTAATTCAGCTTTTTTTTCTTCTTCCATGTATGTTCATTAGGAATAATGTGAAGTATGATTTTTTTTTTCTAATGAAGGAGTATGGCCTTCCTGAATATAAAGTGTCTGAAGGATAGAATGGCAATGCGTGTATGCATGTACAGTGGAATGTACAGTGAAATTGGGTCTTACAGATACGCGGAGTGTCTGGAGTTACTTTGCTCCAGGGCGGCGAGCACGTCGTGTTTCAGCCGCACGTATAACTTTCCTCTTTTCCAGGGATTCTGCAGCTGGAGTGGCCTGAAATCGTCTCGAAGACACCTCTCCCGTATACCAATCACAGCCACTAAACAGAAGTCTTTGAGCCTTTCGTTGCCATAGATGGGTCCGCCCCGCCCCTTCAACACCACCGCCATGTTCAGCTGTTTCACCACCAAGTCTATCACTTCCCGAGCGGTCGTTCTGGGCGTGATGTGCAGCTTGACCGAGGTGCCGGAGGCCAGGCCCGTCTCGTACGCGGCGTACACCTGGATGATGGCGGGCTCTTCGCTCCGCACGGCCCCCTCCACCAGCTCCTCCCCCTCCGTGCTCTTCGCCTCGCTCGCCTCACTCCTCCCGCTCTCTTTGCTCATGAGACTCAGGGTGTCCGTTTCCGTCTCGTTCGAGGACAAGGAACGTAAACTGGCCGTCATGCTAGAGAAAGAGGCTTCGGAGTCGTGACTGAGGCTACTGCCTGCTCGCTGGATTTCAACATTTAAGTTACTCCCGTACCGCTGGTGGAGGTCGTAACAACTGCTCGTGGGAGACTTACTGCTGGCCATCGTCTCCTCGTACTCGATGCTCGCACAACTGTTTTTCTTTCGCTTACCTTGTTCGACCGATTCTAACGACGACGAGCTCTGGTGATTGATTTTTGGTTCACTATTACAGCACTTGGATTTGAGGCATCCCTCGTGAGTATCGTAAAACGCAGGAGCACTGGCCTTTCTCGGAGGGTAACCCGGATCTACACAGTGTTGTAAATGGTTTTCACTTCTAGACGTTGGGAGGTCTTTACTGTACATTTTCCTCTCGCCACTAAACTGCAACTTCTCCCCGTTCCACGAGAGCAGGGGCACATTTTCGTTCTGTTCTTCACTGTCTAACATGCAGTCATTCAGAGAAGTGAATGACTTGCCGCAACTCTGTACACAGCCACTACTATGAACTAAGCACTCAGCTGTCTTTGACTTGTGAAACCTTGAATCGCATTTCACTGCTGCTCTAATGTTTTCTGAGGTATTTGACTTTAGCATTCTAGGAGCATCGGATTTCTTTATGCTGAAGTTGAGGTCGTCATCTTTTCTGAGTCTTTTGCTGTCTGCACCGTGCTGGAGGGACTCACTCGAGCTGTGGGTGTCCTGCGAGGATGACTTGGCAGCAGGCAGGTGTGAGGGCGACTGTTGTACTGCTGGGGGGTGAGTGATGCACGGGGACCTGGGGGAAGGACACGACAGCAAGGTCGTCAGGAGAGCACCAGATGCCGCTTTGTCTCTAGCGTAGGTTATCGCGTCCATGACCCACCTCAGGCCCCGCCATATGACGTCCAGCTGCTCCTGGAAGGTCTGCAGCTGCCACAGTCGATCCCGCGAGCAGGTCACCTCGTCCTGGCTGAAGGCCTCCCGGCTGGCGTGCTGGGCCATCAGCGTGTCCATTTCCAGGATGTAGGAGAGGCGGGCGTATCTCCCGATGAGCTCCCTCTGGTACGTGCCCATGTGGATCATCTCGAAGATCTGCAGGGGGATGGTGGTCAGCGAGGGCTGGGACATGATGGCGTCCTCCTGCCCCGGGGCCGAGCACACGGCATCCACGGGGGGCATCACCAGCAGGAGGGACACGTCGGGGCTGAGTTCCAGCACTTCTCCGCAGTAGAGTCTGTGCTGCTGCTGAGCCTCGCCTTCCACATTGAGCTGACTGAGCAGCTGCTGTGCCGCTTGGCCGAGCTGGGAGTGCCACACGAGCTGAGCTGGCGAGGGAGCAGGTGGCAGGGGGGAGGTTCTCCCCTCCTCCCCCTCAGCTGGTTCTGTCTGTGCGGACAAGTGCCACTGGTCTCCACTGGATAGTTCGAGACTCCGCACCCAATCCCACTCTTCCCTGAAAGGCAAAGGACAGGATGAATATCATTTCATTCACATCAGATTCAAAGGATATAGGCAGCACATTTTACATATATCAGCCTTTAAAGATATAAAATAGTCTTTAAAAGGCTCATCAAAACTCAACACACAACCTGCCACACCATCCACACTCACCTTACATACCAAACAAACCACACACACACAGACAAGCACAACCCACCCTCCTCCCAACCCACACATACCTAGAAACATGCGGATTATCCCTGATCTTGGCATGGGGGAACATATTTGGTTGCTTCTCGGGCACCAAGACCTGCAGCAGATCCACAGAGCTCTGGAGTTTGAGGTAGCCCAGGTACAGACCGCGGCGAAGGGGGACGCGGCTCACTTGGTCGTACAGGATGAGATCTTGGAGGGACGAGAGCAGCAAGTCCCCTGCCAATGTGCCTGGTTCGCCTGACTGTAGGCCTTGTCCTGTAAGATGGGGGAAAGGTTATTGTCTCTGGTTATGATTCCTTAGTATAAGGGTTGTCACTTGTGACTGTATATGTAAGTCGTGAATATTCATGTTTATGTCACCTTACGATTTATTGACCTTAATAAGTTGGTGTTGCTTTGTTTATAATACATCATTTCTTATCTCTTGTCGTTTATGCCAAAAAAATCAGTTAAATACAACTATGACTGGCACTAAAATGTAATATCAAAGCAAAATAATAAGGAAAATTAATTTGCTTAAATCTGGTGAAATGGACTTAAATTTCACCAAACAGACGTTAGCAAAGAAACATCATAGCATCATAATAGTCGTAGTGACACAGCAACATTCACGACCTGGCACTGAATGGCACGCTAATGCTTATACTATATAGTAACAGAATATTACTCACCACATACTACGACTCATGATATAAAACAACAATACTCTACCACCTTAAAAACTGCTGCAACCCAACTTACAACACCTTTTCTCCCCACCCCCATACGTGGACTTAAAACATCTCAAAAGCCCCTTTCTCCCCCCTATACCTATTTTAATACAACCCAACTCACAGCACCTTTCCTTCCCCTTATACATGACCATGATGCAACCCAACCCACAACCCCTTTTCTCTCCCCTCCATACTTCAATAACACAACCCAACTCTTACCCGAAGTTGTGATCTTCTTTTCCTTCAGCTTCGCCAACGGAATCCACTTCACATTCATGGCAGAAACGGCCTTGGTGGACTTCACGTGGCGGATGGTGCAGAAGACTAAGGTGCCGTTGCTGTCCTTGATCGGCTTGTGGTGGAACTGACCCAGGTCCTGTATGCCGAGGGTCGTCTGCGGGGAGATAGAAGGATTATAATGGTGGTCTGCGGGGAGGAAGAAGGTTTATATGGGTCGTCTGTGGGGAGATAGAAGGTTTATATGGGACTTCTGAATGTGAAAGGTTTATATGGGTCGTCTGTGGGGAGATAGAAGGTTTTTAAGGATCGTCTGAGGGGAGTAAGTTTTATAAAGGTCGTCTGTGGGGAGATGGATGGTTTCTATGGGTCCTCTGAAGGTGAAAGAAGGTTTATAAGGGTCGTCTGTGGGGAGATAGAAGGTCTGTGGGGAGGAAGAAGGTGAAAAAAGGGTTTATATGGGTCGTCTGAGGGAGAAGGAAGATTTATAAAGATAGGGAATAAAGGGACAATTATAAATCACAAACAACTGTGGTGTGGAATTTTAGAGGAAGTTTTGTTAAATATTTGGGGGCACTGATACTCTCGGTTATGGTTAAGGAGAAATAAGTACCAGCCTCTCAAATAGGAGAGTTTACACACCCCTCCACCTCCACTCCCCAGAAACTCCTTCCCCCCTTCCCCCTTCCCTCCCTCCATCCCCCTCCATCCCCACAGGCACACATAACCAACTCACCTGCATGTTCGCCGCAGCCTGAAGTAACTTGATTCTGAAGGGCACGGTGGAGGCAGACCCCGCCCGCTCCATGTCTTGCCGGAGGGATTTAACGTCTTCCCACGTCGTCGCCACCTGGGTTGAGGGAGAACGTGGATTAATGGATATACCGATAAAAAAAATAAAAAACTGGAGGAATTGAACATAGACCTAATTTTATAACTGGGGTGAAAAAACAGAATTTCAACATAGGCCTAGTTTTATATAAAAAAAAGTTTGAAAAAATGGAGGATATTTAGGCCTATTTTTATAGTTAAAAATGAGGATTCCATATATATATATATATATGTTAGTTTTGTAGGTGGGATTAAAAAAGCAGGAGGATTTCAACATAGACAGACCTAGTTTTATAACAGGAGGATTTTAACATAAGCAATCCTAGTTTTACATTAATAATAATAACAACAAGAACAATAACAACAACAAGAACAAAAGAAATACCAAGACGAAAAGATAAAAAACCCACCTTCAGAAGCCAATGAAAATGGGACCTCGCTTGACTCATGTAGTTGTCGTCGACCTCCACGACCGGAGGAAACTCTTCTGTTGTCACGAGCACTTTGTCCTCGCAGTATATTAAACACGCTAGATAGGAACCTCTGTTGAAGAGAAGAGAAAATGGCAAAGTGAAGTCATCGTTCGCGGATTGTGGATGCGTGGAAGAAAGAAAATAGGGATGTGGGTAGATAGAGATATGAAGAATACAGCGTTGAGGTTAGTACTCTTTCTTTTTTTTAATATTAAGGAAAAGTAAAATTTATCTATCTATCTATATAACCATCTATATAATCAACCCTACTTCTTTAAATTTCTAAACACGAAATGATATATAAGAATACAGATAGATATAGACACGAATAATAAATTCTCAAGCTGACTTTCCTCTATTTTCCATTAAAGAAAACACAAAAAAACTTACCTCTTTAAATTTCTATGGAACTTGGGCGCGGGCGTGAAAAGATTCTTGATGCTCTTCTTCTTCTGCGCCTTCCGGAGGTTGAGGGGCGTCTCCAGACCGGGTTCTATGGCCTTGATTTCGGCGGCGTGTTGCGGGCGCGAGTTGCACACCTGGTTGAAGAGGTTGTCCAGGTCCCCGACTTGGCCGTCCAGGCGGGGCTTCCGGGAGTCGATGTCGCGCCAGCCTGGAGGAGGGGCAGAGGGAGGGGGAGAGAGGTTAGTTGTCAGGTGTCATAATGAATGATATGGATGGTAAAGAGAGATGTCATGAGGAGAGAGAGAGAGAGAGAGAGAGAGAGAGAGAGAGAGAGAGAGAGAGAGAGAGAGAGAGAGAGAGAGAGAGAGAGAGAGAGAGAGAGAGAGAGAGAGAGAGAGAGAGAGAGAGAGAGAGAGGGAGAGAGAGAGAGACAGACAGAGAGAGAGACTGACAGAGAGAGAGGAGCTGGGAGAAAGGGAGGAGGAGAGGAGAACAGTCCTCCTATATATTAATGAAAGATTTTGCGAAGATTTACAAAGGATATGTAAATGAATCGCACCGGTTTGGAGGGAGGAAAGGGGTAAAGGTCAGTTATCATTTATATCAATGAATGAACCAAAATGACTTATGGCGATTCGTTAAATGATTTATAAAAGAGATGTCGCGCTGGTCTAGAGCGTGGAAGGGGGGGGGGAGTTGATTATCATGTGTAATAAGGTATGATTTGGTAAATGGATCTAATCTAGCAATGCTGTATTTAAGTATGTAGATTTTCGGGTAATGGACCGGTAGAAATATTGATTTGTTTTTTATCTATCATGTTACTGAAAATTCTGAACTGATTATCATTCCTGTAAACTCATAATCAAACCCCCACTAATATCTTCTCTTAAATATATATATATACTTTAAATATACATACGTACACATTTTTCTTTAATTTTCAGCTTTATTTCTTTACTATATGTTTCTTTTCCTAACCTCTATCTCTTCTTTTCTTTTTCTCTATCTCTCTTTCTTTTCGCTTTCCTACCATGCTTCTTTTTTATTCTTCTATCTCTTTTTCTTTTCTTTTCTTCTGTCTTGCTTCCTTTTCTCCTTTTCCCAACACCACTACACAAACCCAAAACTCCCCTTATTCCTATTTCCCTATCCCTCTTTCTTTTCTATTCTTCTACCTTACTTCCTTTTCATATTTACTCGACTCTCCTCCTTCCTTCCCCGACGGTATACTCACTCGACGGTATGGCAGAAGGAGGCGTCGTCGGCAGAGGAGGTCCGTAGTCCTTCATGTTGCCAGCCAGGACGCGGAAGTGGTGTCTCTGTCCCTGCGCGAGGCCGTCGATGAAGGCGGTCATGCGGCGCAGGTCGTGGATCTCGAGGCACCCGGACACGCTCGTCCACTCGTCCACGCTCCACTCCACTGCGAGAGGAGAGGAGAGAGTAAGGTTGGAGTAGGTTGCTGGGTATACGTGGAGAGAGTGTAGCATGACACTCCACTCCGAGAGTAAGGTTGGAGTAGATTGCTGGGTAGACGTGGAGAGAATGTATGACACTCCACTGCGAGAGAGGAGTGGAGAGAGTTAGGTTGGAGTATGTTGCTGGATATATTCGAGTCGACTGCAGGGGGAAGAGGAAAGAGTAAGGTTGAGATTGCTGGGTATACGTGGAGAGAATGTAGTACACTCCACTCACTGCGAGAGAGGAGAGGAGAGGGTAAGGTTGGAGTATGTTGCTGGATATGCGTGGAGAGAATGTAGTATGGCTGGAGTATGTCGTTGATTATACATTCGACTTGACTGCAAGAGGAAGAGGAAAGAGTAAGGTTGGAGTATGTTGCTGAACACACTTCAAAAAAAAAAAAAAAAAAGAAGAGTAACAAACACTCTACTTCACTGGAAGAGAAGGGAGGAATAAAGTTGTATGTAAATAAGGAGTCCGGTTGTAATTATGTTGTTGAATATGCAGAAGAAAGGGAAAATGCGTTGTAGATAGTATACACAATTTCTCCCAGTCTTAAACTAATCAAAATAAAAAAATCTAATCCAGCAATTACGTGTGCAGGCATATAATTTACCAAAGAAAATTCCAAAACCAAATATGTGAAAAAAGATAAGAAACCCTCCAAAATGAATGAAAAAAAAAAAAAACGAATTCGGGACACAGTACCCTTGAACTTCGTAGTGATGGCGAGGTGCTGTGACTCTGGCTCTCTGAAGGTGACTCTGACTCTCGTGCTGTCAATGACCTCGACTGTGGCGGCACTGGGCGCGTTGGGTGGCTCTGCGGGGACCAGGAACTTTTAGACATTGCGACTTATCAAAATAACAAAATAACTATTTTTCCAGAACACTTAATAACTATCACTTCATCGCAATAGTCAATAAAGAAAGTATATATATATATATATATATATATATAATATATATATATATATATATATATATATATATATATATTCATTTCATCGTAAAAATCAAATCAATCAATAAATAATGAAAACCAAAACCAAAGCCAAAGCCAAAACACAGAGAATAGAAAAAAACAAAAGTAAATCAGTAATAATGACAAGAAAATAAATGTGCTAGCATAGTAAAAAAAAAACCCACAAACACAGAGGATCCAAACAAAAAGCATAACCATCACTCACTCATCTGCTCGAGTCCCATCTTCATGGTCCTGAGCATCTTGACCCGCCGGTCCCAAAGCACCCTCTGCCGCTCTGTCTCCCTGCCGTGGGCTCCTCCGGACAGCGCCGAGTTCAGCTCCTCGCGACGTCGCTCCGCCACCGCCACCAGCTCGTTCAGGTGGTGAAGGCGCCGCTCCACGCCTCCTGCAGGAGAGGGCGGAGGAGGGGGCGGTTAGAAGTAGTCAGGAGGGGAGGGGTGGTTGTGTGTGTGTGTGTGAGAGAGAGAGAGAGATATGGAGAGGGGGAGGAAGAGGATGAGAGAGAGAGAGGAGAGAGAGAGAAGAGAGAGAGAGAGAGAGAGAGAGAGAGAGAGAGAGAGAGAGAGAGAGAGAGAGAGAAGAGAGAGAGAGAGATGAGAGAGAGAGGAGAAGAGAGAAAGAGAGAGAGGAGAGAGAGGAGAGAGAGAGAGAGAGAGAGAGAGAGAGAGAGAGAGAGAGAGAGGAGACAGAGAGAGGAGAGAGAGAGAGAGAGAGAGAGAGAGAGAGAGAGAGAGAGAGAGAGAGAGAGAGAGGAGAGAGAGAGAGAGAGAGAGAGAGAGAGAGAGAGAGAGAGAGAGAGAGAGAGTGGTCGGGCGAGAGCAAATGAGAAAATAAGAGAAAGAGAAAGAGGAAAAGAAGAAAAAGAAAAAGAAGAGAAAGAGCGACAGAGACACAGGAGAACAGTTTGCATGTCTATGTACACAATGCAAGCATTTTTAAGAGGCTCAACAGTCACCAGCCGCGACGGAACTAAGGCCTGAATAACATGCAAAGAACAGCTATAAGGGTCAATTTTCCTTTTAGCTCACTGAGAGCACGTGCCGCATGTGTGATTGTCCGTGTGGCGTGTTCGTGAGCGTGTGTGCACACCCACAGACATGTGTGAACCTATTGACTCATGTGATTTATCAGCGTGATCTTCTCATTCATAAAACTCAATAGAGTAAGTAAAATGCATTTAAGTAGGTTGAAAATTTAATTCTAGTCTACGTAAATATATACATTAATCTTACTATATATATATATATATATATATATATATATATATATATATATATATATATACACATATAGATGTCATATAGGCTGCTTTAATACAGATATATATATACACGTCAGTATAATTATTGCCATTAAAGGATATTGCCCGTATGCATAATCATAGCCTCCAACAGATGTCCTAGAGTAACAGCTGTGAAATGATTAAAAAGCGGGTATCTCATCGCTTTTGAACGATGAAATAAAACGCCAAACAAACGTGCAAACACTAAATTTGTCATCCAAAGTAACAAAGAAAAACCCTAAGCTGTGAAATTCTTGGCACCAGAAAACGATGAAATGAAGGAAGTAAGATGTTTACTTATAGACAGACTGACTGATGACTCCAACAGGTGTTCATGGAATAACGAGACCACCTGGGTTTAGCGATGCACGTGTTTTGCCATGTGCTTTTAGAACTAAAATCATCATCTATTTCTATTTGTTTTAGACATCTTATGATTCACTCGGGAGGCATAGAAGCGAGGTGGTGAGAGAGTGAGAGAGAGGATGAGAGGGAGAGGGAAAGGGGAAAAGGATGTTTTATCGAGGATGAGGAGGAGTGTGTGTGTGTGTGTGTGTGTTGTGTGTGTGTGTGTGTGTGTGTGTGTGTGTGTGTGTGTGTGTGGTGTGTGTGTGTGTGTGTGTGTGTGTGTGTGTGTGTGGTGTGTGAGAGAGAGAGAGAGAGAGAGAGAGAGAGAGAGAGAGAGAGAGAGAGAGAGAGAGAGAGAGAGAGAGAGAGAGAGAGAGAGAGAGAGAGAGAGAGAGAGAGAGAGAGAGAGAGAGAGAGAGAGAGAGAGAGAGAGAGAGAGAGAGAGAGAGAGAGAGAGAGAGAGAGAGAGAGAGAGAGAGAGAGAGAGAGAGAGAGAGAGAGAGAGAGAGAGAGAGAGAGAGAGAACAAGAACAAGAACAAGAGCAAGAGAGAGAGGTGGACAGACAGACAGACAGATAGATAGATAGAGAGAGAGAGAGAGAGAAAAAAAAACGTGTGGAAAACGGATACATATTATGTGTCTGTACACAAAAGGATGGAAGGGTGGGGAAAAATGATGGAAAGGAAAGGATGAAGGTAAATAAAGGGTGAAAGGTGGCTAAGAATTTAATCCGAATATAGGTGAAAGTTGCAAGAGGGTGGAGACAAAACAAAAAGATCCCCCCCCAAAAAAAAAAAAAAATCGAAAAAAAATCCGCTACCCGCCCGCCCTCCCCTCCTACCTACCCCCCCCCCCCAAAAAAAAAAGCCAAAAAACAGGGTGAAGGTGGAATAAGGGTGGAGATTGAAAAGGGTTCACTAAACCTGAAGGATGGAGCATGGACACATCTGGCCTGAAGGATGAGAGAAGGGTACACCGCAGCTGGCGAGTGAAAGGCAGATAGACTGACCCTGAAAAGGTGAAGACGGAAGGGATAGAGAGACACAACATGGAGGAGGAAGAGGAGGAAGAAGAGGAGAGGGAGGAGAAAAAAAGGGAAATAGATAAACGGAGGATGAATAGGGAAAAAGGAGGTGAATAAAAAGGAAAAAAAATAAGTGGATGAAAATAAGGGAAAAAATTAATGGAGCATGGAAAATAAAAATAAAAAAGAGGATAAAAAATAATATAAAAGGACGATGGAGAGAATATAAAGCAAGTGAATAAAAAATGAAAAATAAAACGAGGATGAAGAGGGAAAATAAAAGAAATGAATAAAAAAAAGGAAAACAAATAAAAGGGGCATAAAGAGGGAATACAAAAGAAGTGGATAAAAAGTAAAAAAAACAGACGAAGAAGGATCATAAAAGAAAATAGAAGGTGATGGAAAACGAAAACGAAAAATATTGCATGATAAAAAAAAAAATGTTTACTGATAAAACGAAAAGCAAAATGGAGAAAGTAATAAAAATGAAAACAAAAGAACTATGATATAAACCGTAAATGAAAAGAACTGGATGATAAAAAAAAAAAAAAATTAAAGTATAACCTAAAGAATGACAGTAAAAGGGAAACATAGACAACGAATTATGAAAATAAAGAAAAGAAATAAATGATAAGATGACTCAGAAAAAGGATAAAGGATATCCAGAGGATGACCTGTAGAACAATAATATATAAAGGACGAAGAGAAATATCCATTTGACGTAGAAGTGATGACCAAAAAAAGGTTTTGGCTAAAGACTGAAAACATATGATAATAATAATGATAATAATAATAGTAATAAAAATAAACAATACTAATACTAATAATAACGATAATAATAGTATTAATAATGATAATAATAATTAATATATTAATTAATAATAAACATAACAATTAATAACAATAATGACGACGCTGACAATAATGATAAACATCAATACATTAACGATAATAATAATAAAATAATAATAATAATAATAATAATAATAATATAATAATAATAACAACAGAAAAAAATTATAACAATAACAACAATAATAACAAGAACAATTTAAAAAACGACTCGTCTCGCAGGATGTGGTCGCCGCACCTGCCAAGATAAGAGAAAAAGTAAGAATAAAAGAGAAGACAAAGAATAAGCATAACAATACGAGGCCAATAAGAAAGTGGATAAGAATATGAAGAGCAAAAATTAGGGAATAAATTATATGATAAAGAATAAGAACGAGAACGAGAATATGAATAAAGAGCGAGAATAAAGACTAATGATAATGAATAAGACTATAGCATAAAGAGCAAGAATGAATAATGGTAAAGAATAAGAATATAGAATAAAGAATATTTATAAAGAATAAGAATAAAGAATAAGAAAAGAGGATAAGAACAAGACCAAAACTAAGAACGAAGAGAAAAAGCCCAAGAATATTAAGATTACAAAAAACCGCTGACGCAGGAAAGGCGCGAACGAACACACGAACGAACGAACGAACGACGCTCCTGTGAAAACCACGTGACCGACTGCGCGATAAGGGAAAACGGGAAGTTTATGGCGTGTGGATATTGTTGTTGTGGTTGGGATAACGGGCGATAAATAATGGAGAGTGAAGAACGAGATAATGTGGATAAATGAAAAGGGTAATGTTTGAATAATTTGAGAACTTGGCATAGATATACACGCATGTGCAAACGCGAAGCCCATACATATACACATATAAAGACATACACACGCACACACACAGACACACACACACACACACACACACACGCACAAACGCACACCGCAGCAACGCACACACATTAAGAAGAAAATAATTATAACTTCCGCTCCAAATTACATGACCTTTTGTCTCAATTCGAAAAATTATTACACTTTGATATTTCCAAAATTCTTTTAACTGTTAATAATTCAGTCCGTTGTTCATTAATGTAACAATAACAACAACAACAACAACAATAATATTAGTAATAATATTAATAATAACACAGTTGAATTAAGGAAGAACATCAACTATAATGATAATAGTAATAATAATATCAATATTAATATAATGATAACAGTAATAGTCTGTGTGTGCACACGTATACACACGATCACACACACAACACACACACAGCACACACCACACACACACACACACACAATCACACACACACATACCCCACCACCACTACTACCCCCCCCCCCCCACACACACAACCATAACCCCCCCCCCCCCTCCACAGACACACCTGGGTCTCCAAGGCACCTAATTAATATCTTTTTCTCTTTTCTTGGAATCCTATCACACATCCTGTCTATAAGAACGAGATCGGATGTTAACCCCTTTAACACATCCCCCCCTTCCCTTCCTCTCCCCCCCCCTTCTCATCCTCTTTTTTGACCTCAATAACTATTTAATGTAACCTTTTTCTGATTTCGAAAAATGTGTATTGAGTAATCTTTTTAAAGGTATTCTATGGAGTTTTGGATAGTGATACAGTATATAGTATGATGATAATGATAAAATGAATGATGACAATTGATGATGAAGATGATAAAAAATATATAATATCATAAAATCATAATAATAATAAAAACCCATACAACCACCGTACCACATACACCCCACACCCCTCTCCCCCTCCCCCCTCCCCACCCACCTTCCCTCCACCCCGAGGAACAAAGCAAGAAAAGAAAGAAAGAAGCAAAACAAACAAACGACCCCCATCCATTGCATACGAACCGATGAC